CCAGCCTTTACCCCCCCCACACACACACACACTCTTTTTTTTCTCTCCCTCTCTTTCATGCTCTGCAGCTCCTCCTCCCGCCTCTGTTTTCTCCAGTTGTCCCTCTCTTCTCTGATAGGTCCCGGCAGGACGTCAATCACTTCCCTCTGCCACCCCCACCTTTTAAAAAATAATCCTTCCATTCAATTGAACTTGGGCAAAGTTTTGTAAAGAGGTGGAGGTGGGGGGGGGAGGGAAAGGAGGCATAAAATCCATGGGGGAGCCTCTGCCTGGCAGTGGTGGGCGACTCTTATTGGAGGGTGGAAAGTGCCTTTGAAAGCCCTCAGCCACCTTCTCCCCCTCAGGGGCCGAAGACCTCCGTGTTTTGGAAGAAACCCCTACAGTATTGGGTCTGGGAGAAGGTTGACATCCAGGACTTGGAAGAAGCGACGACAGCCAAGCTCCGGCAGCAGGACCTCCACTTGGGGGACGTCCAGTCCACTCGCCCGTCCTCTCGTCTGCACGTCTCCTGCAGCAGGTTCAAAGTAAGGAGGACCCAACGGGTGGGAAAGGGCCAGAGGTGATGGCCTGGCATTTGTGTGTGTGTGTAATTGTGTAAGTGTGTGTATGTGGGGGAGAAGATCTGGCTCCCCAAGTCTGGACTGCTCGGTCTCTACGTCTTCATGCTGCGGGTTAAAGGGTGGCAGCAGAATTGCCAAGGGCCAGGGTGACGGAAGGGGGACTTGATGCATCTTCTGCCAAAGGGGGACCCCTCTGCGGAGAGCCTTCACCCTCCCTGTGCCGGGGCCGATTTGGCATCAAAAACCAGAGCCGCCCCAAGAACAGCCTCAGCAAAAGGCCCACCGGGGCTTCCTTTGCTGGTCTTCCCCTTCTCCCCTCCGACCTTCCCCCTGATCTTAATTCTCTGGTGGCCTCGCGCACACCTGGCCCGAGGGGCTGTTTCCTACACCTGTCTGCGGAGAGCCTTCACCCTCCCTGTGCCGGGGCCGATTTGGCATCAAAAACCAGAGCCGCCCCAAGAACAGCCTCAGCAAAAGGCCCACCGGGGCTTCCTTTGCTGGTCTTCCCCTTCTCCCCTCCGACCTTCCCCCTGATCTTAATTCTCTGGTGGCCTCGCGCACACCTGGCCCGAGGGGCTGTTTCCTACACCTGACCTG